AGATGCCAGCAGGTAGCCACCATCAAGCGTCACACATGTGAATACTGTAATAAGTCATTTTCTAATAGTGCATATTTTGGACTGCATTTGAAAATGCATACAGAGGGAAGCAGCCATTGTTGTGATATATGCAACAAGTATTTTGTTAATTCCTCCAATTACAAAATTCACTTAAGAACTCACGATGGAGACAAGCCTTTCAAGTGAGTTATACACATATTTTTTCTCCAAACAAATACTTATCACAATAATAATAATATCATAATAAATTTCTTTTTGTTTTTGTTTTTAGGTGCATCGAATGCGACAAAGGCTTTCTCACATCCACCAATCTTTCGACCCACATGAGAACTCACACTGGACAGCGTCCCTTCAAATGCGATCACTGCAACAAAACATTCATAAACTCATCAAACTTAAACATTCATCGAAACTATCATAAAGGACTGAAAAGTTATCACTGTAAATTTTGCAGCAAAACTTTTCTCACATCTTCCAATTTAAAAGTTCACGTTCGGATACACACTGGTGAAAAGCCTTATCGGTGTTTTATGTGTGAAAAAGCATTTGTCACTTCGTCAAATCTCAATCTTCACATCAAGAGTCATAAGGGAACCGTGAACATCGATGCTGGCCCTCCCTGAAAGTTATTTTTTTAAAAAAAGAGTACGAAAAGTTTTGTTTTGTAAAAATTAATCTTTCGCCCGTTTTGTAAGGCGTAATGATAAACACAAACAAACAAACAAACAAAAACAAAAACAAAAAAAAACAAAAAAAAAACAAAAACAAAAAAAAAAAAAAAACATTCAAAATAATAATAATAAGTTTCACACACACACACAATCGTACCGTTTCTATAAAATATAATAAGGTTTTTCTCAAAGCTCTTTAAAAGAAACCTATTTTTTTTTTTTTTTTTTTTAAAAACGGCTAAAATTACTTTACTGGATGCAGGGCCTTATTTTGTATATAATGCCAAGTAATTACATGTAAAGCTCAAAAAAAAAAAAAAAAGCAAAAAAAAGCAAAAAAGCAAAAAAAAAAAAAAATTGTAATAATAATAATAATGATAAATTTTAAACTCTAAAAAAAATTTGATTGAATTAATTATGTATAAAAAAAAAAAACAAAATAATAATAATAATAATAATAATAATAATTTTAGTAAAATATCTTTACAAAATATATATATAAATAAATATATATATATATATATATATATATATATATATATATATATTACAAAAATTAAATTTTAAGCAATACTTTATATTAATATATAAAATTAGGTATCGGTGTTTAATACAAACTTTTTTTTTTTAATTGATTGATTGATTGATTGATTGATTGAAACCGGGTACATTTAAATAAAAAAAAAAAAAAAAAAAAAATTTGCCCAATATTTATTTCAATTAATTGGGGGAAAAAAATTATATATATATATACATATATATAAAATCCAAAATTTATTTATTTTTATTGGCTTTACTCGTTATTATTATTATTAAATAAAAAAATAAATAAAAATAGTTTTATATAGATATATATATATATAATTTACAAAATACTTTTAAATTTTAAATATAAATTTTCTTTTTTTAGGCAGCTTTTTCATTTTTTGTTTTGTTTTATCGAGAACAAATTTTTTTTTTTTTTGTGATGGTATTAATTTATAAAAAAATTTTTTTGTCAGGATTTATTATTTAATAATTAAGTTATCGATTGATTGATTGATTGATTGATTGTTTTTTTTTTTAAGGATTTAATTTAGAATCATTTCGTACTTTTAACACGACAACAACACAAACAAAAACAAAATAATTTTGATTCTAAATTAAAGATTTTTTTTTTTTTAAAAAAAATAAATAATCAGGGAAAACTTGATTGTTTATTATTATTATTATTATTATTATTAATATTATTATTATTATTATTATTATTTAATTTTATTTAATTTTTTTTTTTGATTTGAAAAGTATTTTTTTTATTAAGATACAATCGTCGATAGAAATATAGAATGTAAATTTTTATTATTATTATTATTATTATTATTATTATATTTTTAAATAAATATAAAAAAAAAAAAAATATTTATATTTAACCTCATGCAATTTTACAAAATGAAAAAAATTTTATTATTATTAAATTTAATTTTTGTTTTTTTTTTTTTTTTTTCCAAATAATAATAATAATAATAATAATAATATTAATAATAATTT